TGTGAAGAGCAGCGGGCAGAAGAGAGGTCAAAAGTGTTCCTGAAGGAAGGATTTGGCTTTGGTTTTTGGTATGCGCCGTACATTCGACTTTCATTCAGCATCTGTGGAGCATTTGAGCGCAACTGAGGTATACTGATGACTTCTGACCAACTCCTTCGTTTATCCCTGTTGGAGCGTCGTATCAACAAGTGGCCATTAAGTAGGGATATTTAGGGTGAGCTAGAGGGGATTTGAACTGAGGAGCGTGCAGGGGTGATACGGTGCTTTAGATCACTGCATCATCTGTGTTCTCCTCGAACCTTACTAACTAAAACCTAACAGAATAGACTGGGAGCTCATCGTGGCTAAAATTAGCGCTCCACCACCTCAGTAGCTCGTATTGAGCCGTATTTATAGCACTTGACGCTATTTTGAGGGTTTGGGCGGTCACATGGCGTTAGTCGAAGGGCTGACGGCGGGGTTTGGCACTGTCCCTACCGTCGGCCCGTCGACGAACGCCATCATGGAAATGTAGCGCGCGCGGAGCCGGTTACGAATTAGGTCAATGCTCGCGTTGAGACGCTACCGTCGGAGTTCGAGTGAGAATCCGGTCCTTTTCAGCGCGAAAGTACAAGTGGGACGGATTGTTTCCATTGTGTCGATAGATCTAGGCTCACATGACTACACACTATAGGGATAGCCTAAGGTTCAGTAGACTGTCAAATCGCTACTTCAATGATTTAAACCTTGACCTGCGCCAACTCTGCGGAGAGCTGCTTGCTACTTCGTTATCGTTCTCATCGCGATACAATAAAGAAGTGTCGCGGTTCGGTGATGGCGCTCTCAGTCAGTGTTAGCGTGTTTTCATTCAAGGTTTCGAGGTCATGCGACTCACAACGGGAGATAGGGAGAGGAGGGGTGGTGGGTGGGCAGTGAAACCGCATACCCGCGTAGCAGTGCCCCATTAGCGAATCAAGGGGTTCCTAGCATCGACACACGGGCCGTTCAGAGCCCGGTGGAAGGCAATGGTTAGGGTATGGGCTTTCTACTTGTGGTACCACGGTCAACCATTGCATTGGATAAAAGTTTGGAGTTAGAACAACCCTTCCCTCCTCTGGTGACCACGAGGGGGGGGGGTGGGGTGTGGGGTCATGCAATTGCATAGTAATTGTTTCTTAACCCTAATCCGGCAACAAGTGATAATCACCTCCATTCCTGCCGCTGACTGACATTCAATCTCAGGTCCACTGGAGGTGGCCCCGAACAAATTTGTTACTACGCAACGGGTGCTTGATATTTTCCCGAATTCGAAGAACTTTCGGTTGGGAACTTCAAATGATTGGAATCAACATGTTGTCTTTATGAGGGCAATAAATTATTTGATTCGGTCAATGTGAATTGGGTTCTCTGGCAAACTCGTTCTCCGCGTGAAAGTTCTGAAATTGCCCCGAATTACTCGGTGAAAATTAACTTTTCTCTTCCCGATTACTTCAATTTAGCAGTGGAAGTCAACCCAGAGGGCAGGATTCGATGAGGTGGCATCTGCCGTAGGGGTCTCGCATAAATCTTTTGTGTGGGGCCTTTTAGGGCTGAAATGGCTGGGACCATTTGAGTTTGGAGTTGAAATGCTTCGCAAGCCTACAAGGCTGCAAATTGAAAGACCGTTGGAGTTACGGACCGTATACATCGGCTCGATAATTAGTGTCCGTAGCTCTTTCCGAGAGGTCATGAGCCACAGGGTTTCTCGAGTAGGAGGCTAGAATCTAAGTTGGGTGGGCGAAGGGGGGCGCTATCAATCGAGAAAAGCGTGAGTTTTGCTCGTGACACTGTAAGGGGACTACTCCTTGCATGTAAATGTGTAGAAAAGGTCACTAGTGTAGGGTGTTACAGTGTAGCCATGAACAGCAGGACAGTGTTGCCCTCTTAGGTCTTTGCCCTTTCTTTGTTCGTTCATTGAGTGGGGAAAATGCTTCCCCGTTTAGTGGCGGACGGGCGCGAAAGTAAGTGCATCACGAGATGTTTTCAAACTATCGACCAATAAACCACAACGAACCGTCTCCATGCTGAACACCGTAACCTTTGAAGGTTACCCCACTCCCTCTTTAGGTAAGGTAACTTACCACGTCTAAGCCTCTCCGCCTGGAACAAGTGGGTAATCGTCCAAGCATACGCTTTATATACCACTGTAGGTCAATGGTTGGTAGTGGAGGTACCCGGCATGAGTAAAGGGCAGATTTGTAGTATTTATTTGTTTATGTTTACATGCTTTCATTTTCAGCTGGCAGTGAAGAGTTCTCGGTAACCACACTGCTGTGTCAGGTGTGCTCAGACAAAGCGAGCGGCTTTCACTATGGAGTTTTCGCTTGTGAAGGATGCAAGGTATTTCTTCCTTTCAGTATTTCTTTTTAGAAACATGAATAGGTCCCAACTAGCGGCGTGAATGGGTAAAGGAGCAGCTCCTGATTAGTCGCTCTGGTTTGCGCCACGCGTTGCGCTTTATTTTAATTTGAAGAAATGATTGTAGCAGTGAAAATGACCAAGTTATATTTCATTATCATAACCTATTCTAGCAACAAATGCAAGCACTTCTACATAGTATTTTATGTTCTTCAAATTTCTATGTGTTCCTAATATAAGACCATCTTGAAAGGGAATAACCAGGAAGGTGAAGGAAGGGTTTTTGAATATCTACGGGTAGTTCGTGAAGTAGACATTATTTCGAGTCATTAAAGGAGCTAGGTAAGAGTCGGTTACAAAATTAGTTGTCGTTCAAATCTCTTCATGAGAATGACTTTAAGTCTTCAGATATCTTACCCTTTCGCGTTTTTGGAGAAAGTTGTAGAAACGGGCAAAGAGCCGTTTTCGTTAGAGTACGCCATGCGCTTAACTTGGCAAAGGCTTGTGGAACGCCTTGAGTTGCGGGTATTTCACGAGGATGGAGACCTGTCTGATGCTGAGCTTACAGTTTTTAACCAGAAAAGTTTCATTTAAAAAATTTTCTTTCCAAGCCCTCCCCTCCAACGAACACCGGTAGGTTTAATTTGTCCGTGTAGGGATTTTAACCCCTACCGCTGGCTGCACAAGAGATTTCTCTGAACATAGCTCTACAGGTATGACGATAGGTGATAGGTTTTATAGTATGGTGTTTTCTGATGGTGACTTGTACCGTCCTCTCAAGGGTATTTGGGCAGACTTCCGTGTATGTGATCTGTAGTTGCTCCCGTACGGTCCCAGAGGCGTCGGTATCTTCCGTGGTGTCCCGCTGCCCTCTAGAGAACTGGTTGGTGCGTGAGGGTTGTGGTGCGTTTGCGCCGCTTACGTCGAGCGCTTTCGCATGCCATCCATCCATCCACCTATGCGCTCTTTCTCTCGTGGCCTCCATTATGTAGCGTAGGTTTTTGGCGCAGCGAAAAACGCCGCCCGAGCAATCGCCGGCGCCGGTAAGCGCGCGAGTGCTATGTGGCCACCGACGGCGCTCTTGTTGGCAACGTTGAAGAAGGTTAAGTGCAAGTGTGCAGCATTGTTCGTCGTGTAAAGGACGCTTAGTAGGCACGGCTATAGTCTCGGTAGTTGGAGAGAGCGCTGGGTAAAAACCTAGGTAATCGCCCAGTGATTGTTCTGATAAGTTCCCGGTGACGGTCCGACTTCGTTCGTCTTAGGCGTTTTCTCCGCTTATATCGTTACGTCAGTTTGCAGTTCGATGTTAATTTAACGCCACGTCGCGCCGTCGTTGTCTCCTTGGGCGCTAACTGGGTCACAAGCCGTTTTCGCTCGCTACTCTCTTAGCGAGTAGTGATTGATGGAGTGAAGAGAGCGACCGAGAGAGAAAAATCGCCAACTCACAACATCGGAGAGATTCTTTGCGGCGTTTCACATTAGCACAGTCCCCCGATATGTTTTCGTTTGCGGCCGCCGTGTCGTCATCACCGTCTCATGGCCACTTTCCCGGATTGAGGTCTACATGATACCGTGCCAAAGGTCTCGATAGTGTAGGGGTTTGGTAGGTGGTAAGTTTCTCATAAATCGGCTGCTGAAGGTCAGCTGAAGGTCTCAGTGGGCGTGACGGAGTCAAAAATTGATAAGATTCAAAAATGACAGAGAGGTGTGAACCTTGAGTACCCCTTGACCCAAGCTAGATGCGATTGGAGAACCAAGACCTTGAAAATGACCAGTTTACCCAGTAAACCTTCGCTGCGTAACTATAATTCGCTCCAGAGGTGAAGATGGTGCAAGAGATGAAAGCGTGCTATTATAATTGCACGGTCCGTAGGATCGAATCCGGGGCCGAGCCAGCTCGTTCATTTCTTTATGGGTAATTAGATCGCCACAAGACGTTGCTTTAGGTGTTATTAGAACGCTAACTCGAACCTGTGGATGTTAC